AAGTTCAAGTAAAGGTCCCTCGCATCAAACTATGGGAGATTTCATACTAATTTACAAGAGCTGGCTGAGGTGGGTTTGAGCTATTTGAAGGTGCCTTATAAAACACCTGGTCCTGTCTTGGGTTTCACTTTGATGAACATTAGCCTGGTGATTTGGGAAAATCATTACCAACGCCAAAGCAAATATTTTTACAGGCAAAAAATGGCATAATCAATACACACAGGCAGTATGACGATACATTGAAATAATGAAACACATAGCAGAAGCTATTTTGAGGCTAACATGGCTCTGGCTTATCTCTGGTTTTCACATCTTTATTTTGCTGACTGGATTGAAATAAAAGGGTAAGGGGTTGGTTCTGGTTTCTCCATTCCCCTCAACACAAACACACACACACACACACACACACACACACACACACACACACAAAAGGGTGGATTTCCCCGTTCATCATGTAATCCTTGGCTAAGGGCAATGATAACTTACAGCCACTTATCAGTCAACCTTATTCCACAGTATCCAAAGATAGAATTAGATATTTGTATATAAACACATACTGGTACACATGTTTGGACAAAAGAGGACAAATCAGCACTTTCTGGACATTGCCCTCTTTCATATCTCCATCTCCAGCCTCATTGCATATGCATGGATACACACACACATACATACACACATGCACACATGTAAATTAAATAAACACACACACACACACACACACACACACACACACACACACCATGTACGTGCATTCAAACACTAACACAAATGCTGTCTCCACAGCTAATTCCAGACTAAAATCAATATACCAAGCAAAGAATGACCTCAACTGACCAACTGACCCCTATTTACCCTTTCACTGGAATGCAAACTAGTCCAGACCTTTACTGAAACCACAAAATAAAAATTACATAACACCCGCCAGAGCCTGCTGCAAATAATGTCACCGATACCCAGGGGCCTGACACATGAAATAATGTCACCCATACTGATAGGTCACATAAAATAATGTCACCCAGGGACCTGTCTCATGAAAAAACCATAAGCACAAAATATAGTCTTGACTAATTAGACCTTATTTAGTCTACTCACTTCTAATAAAAAGAAATATATTACCCCTTTTATACATAATAAGAAAGTCATGGCTAATGTTTCAGATCAGTACTTACTTAAAATATCTAAACAGGCTATAGCTAGTATGTTATTCAGAACTTAAACAGACAAAATTTTTGGCCTAAAAGTTAAGATGATGATCAAATTCTATGGTTGTCATCCTTCCCTTATGTATTTAAGCAATGCATACATCAATATAGACAATTAAGGAACCCAAGCGAGAAAGCAAAATACTACACAACAGGTTACAAAATCATCAAATTTGGTTTCAGGACAATTGTGCATTATCATTATTTTACCACCATTTTTGTTCATGATATTATACAGTTTTATGTCTTTATATGTTACAAAAAAGGCTAGAGTGTAAGCACCTTCTATAAAGAGAATTAGGCTCTCTACAGCCCCCCCCCCCCCCCCCCCCTTTGTACAGAGGCATTACACAAGACACCTTTCAGGCACCTCAGTACATGCAATCTGATATCAGCAGCAGCAGTTGTCTAGACATGCGGGATAAGTCAACTCATTTTGATTCATACTCAGACCATGAATGAATGAATGATTGTATACCACATCTTACTATCATCTTAAAATTATGTCACTTTGTGTGTCAGTGCGCTCTTATTACTTTCATTTTGCAGTTTTAATAATCAACTATCTCTTCCCAGAATTTAGAATTTTTTAAGACACTACGAGGATCATCTGAGATGCCATACAAGATCAGAAAATCTATCTGAATCTGAGTTGGGGTTACAATTTTAGGGATTGGGTTGAAACTCGATGGACCACTATTGTTGTCTTATAAAGTTACACAAAAGTGACATGCAACACATGGTGAATTTCTGCTGTTGCGCAACAGACTGCAATTTGACAGAGCTTTTGAAAAATCAGAAATAATATCCATAAACATATTCTATCAGCCTTTATTCATTGCCCAAAGCCCTTGTTAGCCTGCAATTATTTCTGATCCCATTCTCTTCCAATCCCTGCAAAATCTCAGTTCTTTTTACGCCGGGACACCACATTTTGGGCTTAGATGATCCCTTTTCAGACATGTATACACTGTTACAGTGAGAATATTAATTACTACATATCTGATTTTTTTCCCATTATTTTTTATGAAGGCGATACATCACCTAAAATGACATTTAATTCAACATCAAGTACTGTACTAAACTTGGAGACTAGTTCACACCATTAACTTGATAAAACCTGAAGACAGCAATTACAGCCATAACAACATCAGTAAAATCAATCACAGTAACAGTAACATCCTGAAGGTCTGGCAATGTTCCAGTGACACATGTATAACTGGGGGGAGATCTCAACTTTCCTAATCAAGCATCGTCTTCAACAAGGCTTAATAGATCTATGTCCAATGACCCTTGGCCTTCAAAAAATAGTGGACCTGATTAACAACCCTGGGACCAGAGGGGTTAATTACTAATTAGGGTACCTGCACCCTGAAGATCAAAGATAAATGGAAATCTACCTGTATTCTCCAGGCCCAAGATACAGCAAAGGCATGCTGTTAATGCAGTAGAGTTTCCAGTAATCTTTGAACCTATGGATGGCTGCCCTGGGACTTTTTTAATACAACTCCTCAAGAAAAAAATATATCACGGAGTGATAGAGGACAAAATTCATTTCCAGACTGGTGAAAGAAATCATACTGTGATGTACATGTATTGTACAGGTTGCAGTCCTTGCACAACATATGTGCCAATTAAAATAAATAAATAAATAAATAAATAAATAAATAAATAAATAAATAAATAAATATAGGTCCGTAGCCAGCAATTTCAAAAGGGGGGTTCTTTTTCTGAAAAAGTGGACCTTTTTCAATAAAAACTTCATGAACCTAGATCAAATTTTACCCAGAGTGGACCTTTTCCCACCAAAAGGGGCGGT